GTACAAATGCGCTTTACACAATTGATGTGTGTATGGATTGCGATAACAGTTGTATGAGCCCCTAATAAAATGTTTAAAAAAAAACAATTCATACATCCATTGTGTCAAGCACATACGTACACATGTTGCCATCATCCTTTTCAAAACATTTTCTTTCTACATGAGCCCTTGGTATCAGCTCATTTTTTCCTCCCTCCCACCCTCATGATCCCTTGATAAATGATAAATTATTATGATTTTCATATCTTAAACCATCCGCTGTCTCCCTTTACTCATTTCGGTTGCTCATCCTGCTGAGGGGTTGAATGTCGATCGCTGCAATTAGTTCCCCCTCTCTCCCCCTTCTCCCCACACCTTCCCCCTATCCTCGTGGTATCGCTACTCTCACTATTGGTCCTGACAGGCTTATCTGTCCTGGGCTGCATGTGTAGAGAGCTCTTATCTGTGCCAGTGTACATGCTCCGGTTTAGCCAGATTTGTAAGGTACAATTGAGGTCATGATAGTGGGCGGGAAGCATTAAAGAACTAGAGCAGCGGTTCTCAATCTGTGGGTCGCGACCCCTTTGGGGGGTCAAGCGACCCTTTCAGAGGGGTCGTCCGATTCATAAAAGTAGCAAAACTACAGTTATGAAGTAGCAATGAAAATTTTATGGTTGGGGGGGGGTCACCACAACATGAGGAACTGTATTAAAGGGTCACAGCATTAGGAAAGTTGAGAATCACTGAACTAGAGGATTGTGGCCTATTTCCTTGGTGCTATACTGCACCCTGGCTGGCTCGTCCCTTCCCTCTAACCCTTCTCTGAGTGGCTGTCCAAATGTCTATAGATGGACTTTGGGTCTCCAACCTCCCCCCCACCCCCATTCACATTAATATGATTGTTTGGGGTCTTCTGATGCCCAATACCTTCCCTGTCGACACCTCATAATCACACAGGCTGGTGTGCTTGTTCCAGGTGGGCTTTGCTGCTTCCCAGCTAGAGAGCCATTTGTTTATCATCAAACTTTTAAAATCCCAGACCCTATATCTTTTAATAGCCAGGCATCGTCGCAGCTAGCAGGTTTACAGCAGTAATTTTTTGCTTAATCACTGAGCCACTGGGGCACCTGTGACTAAGCTGCACCCTGACATTGCTGAACAAAGGAAAGAATGCTTGCAGCCACTACTTGTGACTCCCCCGCCCCCCTCCACAATCATGGGAGTTCAGCCCAAGCCAGGATCCGAAAGCATTACGGATACAGTCACTGAGGACAGCAACACCTTTCTTCTGTGCCTTCCTGATATGTGATAACAATCCACTCATCGTTCAGGGTAGTGCTAATCTGGTATTATGCTATCTAATGGCAAACCAATCATGTGTAATGAAGCCCAGGAGAAATATAAGAAGGAACCCTGGAAGCACAATGGTTCTGTGCTCAGCTACTACTGGAAGGCTGGTGGTTCGACGCCACCATCTGTTAGAGAAAGATCATGCAGCTGGCTTACATCGAGATCCCAGCCTTGGGAGCTGTTCAGCCATGTAGGGGGGCAATTAGCTGACTACACAGCACCTAAGGAGACCACAATGGGGTTCTAAGAAGCACTTTACAAGTCAGATCATTTGGGGTCCTAAGGAAATTTAAGAGATCATTTGACAGTTATCAAACTAATGATCAATTGTGACCTATATGGTACAGGTTTCCAGTAATTTCCCAGAGGTTCACACTTAACTAGATCCTCATAAACTTTTATAAGAAAAACTTACAAAATACAGAATAATGAACTCATGCATTTACTATTTGCCCTGTGAAGAAAATTATTATGTGCGCAGGAAATCTGTAATACATTGTGAATGAGGAAATAAGTAAGAGACGTGAGAAATGATTGGCTAAAATCCTATTATTATACACAATAGATTTATAAAAACAAATGTACTGTTTAAATAATCAATTTAAAAATCAGTATTTTCTTTTTGTATCATAATTGAAGTACTAAAAGGCTAAAATATTGGTATTAGGATAGCACATTTTTAAGAGATTTATTCAAACAAACCTTTTGATTTTCCTGTATTTCCTCCCTCATTTGTTGATTGACAGCAATTCTGGTCAGTGATCTGAGAAAATAAATACTAATGTCACCCATTCTTCATTTAAGCATTTCAAACTATCTATAATTCAATGTAATGTAATGTAACACTTTGGTAAGAAACGAAAAACGCTCAATGCTCAGTACCTCATGACTGAAAGATTCATATTTTAATAAAGTTGAATTTACAAGGATATTGATAAAGGGAAATTGGAGACTGTCAAAAACACACACATACCAACTGTATGTATTAAGTAGGGTCAGAGCTTGTTTATTATGAGTTTTCCAAAAATGCTTCAATGAAATCACAATTTTACCTGGTTTCACCCATATTGAGAAAATGTGTATGAAGTTACCAAAGTCATCATATGTGTCTCTATAAATAGGCAATTTTTAGAATTTTAAAAATTTTATACAAATTGTTCATCCATTTGTCAAATACTTGATATCAATAGTTACTGATTATCTACTGAACAGCTTTATGGATATGCCTACAAGCCTACAAGGAAGCTACAAAAAGTCCATGAGCAAACCCCATTATCTCTTAATTCTGTTTCCATAAACTTATTGAAGCACTTTCATATAATATAGGCAAACAGGTAATAGTAGTAAGTTTATCAAATTTGTCTTACTGATCAATATTTTACATCAGAACTACTCAATAGTTAAATTGGGTTAAGCTCAAAAGAAATCTTCTATTTTCTTAAAACAAAAATTATTTTACTTTATTTGTATCTGGCTTTGTTTTTAACACTACTGTTAATTAGCAGTGGTGTGGCTAAACAAATACAAACATGCATACACATTTCATGTTTTAGTACATAAATATTGACCATTCAAATTCCTGACTGCTTAAACTAAAATTTGCTGAAACTGTAAAATCAAGTGTTATTCTTAATCTGTAACAACCCCTTTGCTTTCAAGGTACCATTACTATGCTCTAATAAGTAACCAACACACATAATGAAGAAAGACATTGGTTTTATGGAAATCATATGCCTACTCACTTATTGACTAACTCACTTATCTGACATTACACATTTAATAGTAGCAGATCTGCTCTTTCACACATTAAACATGCACAGCTGGCAGTAATGAATGCCAAAGTTCCTGACAGGTTCTCTGACTTTCAGTGCCTGAAAAGGGAGGTAGCGCAGTCTCCCCTAGCCATCAGGTGGGGTGGGAGTGGGGTTGGCATGAGGGTTGCGGGGATACAAGACTGCCTGGAGGGCCTTGGGTACCCACAGGATGCTGAGGCCAAGGCCATAGCAGCCACCCTCTGGGCTGGTGAGGAAGTGGGACGCCAGGGTCTGTTCTTAGCCCACTGCCTCTAAAGGAGCAAAAATGACTGGGCTGTGGTCAACAGGAACCATGAGACAGGGCACTTGAGAACTGGAGGTCCATGTCAGCCAATCGGCACCTCTTCAGTCTTTTATGCTTCCTAAATACCCCCTCCTGGGCAGGCACAGGTGAGGGTTGGGTCAACTATCTGAGTCGGGGTGGGGTCAGCAAGTGGGTGGTCAGCAGCAGCAGCAGCAGCAACTGAAGGTCAAAGGCAAAGGCCAGACCGGATCATCATGGCCTTACAAACTCTGGATTGCCCAGTCATCACATGGGAGCTAGGTCAAAGAGCAAACACCCAGGCCCTTTTGCATACGGACAATGAGCCTTCTGCCTCCCCGCGCCCCTCCCCCCCAAGGTCACCAAGGCGTTTTTGGGGTCACTGAGGAAATGGGAAGGGGAGGACACTAGGGAAAGAGGGCAGTATTTGAGCCATGCTGGCTCCGGAAGACCGGGCAATTCCCTTCTGTGGTGGTGGGGGAGTGGAGAGGTAGCTGCAGGTGGCCTCAGCAGGGTCCTGGTGGGATGTGCACAGCACAGGCGAGGAGGGGAGGTGATGTGGTCGTCCCCTATGTTCACCTAATCCAAGTGTTCACACAGTGAACTAGTCTTTGGAACTGAGCCATGCAAGGAGTGGGAATATGGATCTGGAGTTGACACCAGGTGTTAAACGAAATCAGTTAATCTCATAAGACTTATGTAATGGAACAGAGTCCTGGCTACAATCAAACCAAAGAACTTCCATATACCTTGCTTTTATGGGGTAGTTCTGTGAAATGTCTTTCATTAATTTGATGGCATCATAAACTGGAGTGGACATTATTTGAGATGCTGCTTGAAAACTAAGGTCTGGAAAAAAAAAGGAACACAATTAAGCAACTTAGCACAATGTGAAGACTTTATAAATCTTTCCATGTATTTTAGTTAATTTACCTAATTTTCTTTTCTCTATAAAGAAGGCTTCAAATGACTCATGGAAAAATATTTTTAATTCCATTTTCCATGAGTTTTTTGAAATCCCTTCATGTTTGTGCTTAAACGTATTAACCCACTTTTATCTAGTATTTTCTGAAAGTTGTAAGTGAAAAAGCTGGTCATCAAATACACTTTTGTAAGTTTCACACTTTCATGAAAAATTATCAATGACTATTATTTATGTTTGACTAATTTAAAAATGAAACATACATACGCTAGAAAGATGAAACTTTCTTGTGGAATCACTGGTGGATTTGAACTTATGACCTTATACAAAGCAGTCCAACATGTAACCACTACACCACCAAGGCTTTCTGGCCCCCACACTAGTACAGATTTTGATACTCTATATTCTCAGTTAGCAAGCCACCATCCTTAAAAAAATGCTGATGTTAAGATTTCTCCAATAAGATGTTGATGAGCCCCTGAATAAAATGATTACTATTAATAAAAAAATTTCTCCACTTTTATAAATCTGTCCATTAGCTTCTAAAAAAACCCCACAGCCAACAGAGCCAATTCCAGTTCAAACCACTACCAGACATCATCATCTCGATATCTCACAATCATTTCAGACATCATCACCTGGATATCTCACAATCACTTTAAACGGAAATTCCCCGCACTGGCTTCTTCATATCCTGTTTACTTCGTATCCAACTTGAAAACCTTGGCATCACCTTTGATTCATTTCTTTCGTAAATATTTTCCAAATTCAAGTTTTCGTTGATATGCCCCCTACCACAGTCATAATTCAACCTCTCTTCATTGCTTCAATGGTGTCCTAACTGTATTTCCTACTTCAATCAAATACATCTTACAAAGACACTAGGATGCCTAATTAACACTAAACTGACCGCACGGGTTCTCTGCTTCACAGTGTAAAAGCACACCATCTTTAATAATTGTCTAAACTGTGCAAAGCTCCCTTGGAGAGCACTGTGAAGGACACTTACATTCAAGAAAACTGTAATACAAATTTAAGTCTAAGAAAGATATGTAAATAGGATTTTTCAAAAGGATATCTGAAATTAAGGATGTGGGGGCAAAAACTGTCATATTAATAAAACTTGAAAAAAGTTTTAGGATTTTTATTTTAAAACGTTTTATTAATTAAAGGCCAAAAAAATTTTGATAGACTGAAAGAAAATAAAGAGTTCAGAAAATTTAGTGGTCTCCCAAACAAGAAGAAATAAAAAACTTAAGTGATCTCAATAAAGTCTTAGATCAAGCTTAGTGGGAGTGAGGACGTGGAGATGGGAAAACTCTGAAAGTTAACGCTAAACTTAAATAATAAGAGTCCTAGATGTTAGAGTTGGATAAGCTCTGAATGATTACAAAGTCAAAAATATACTCATTTACAGAGGTGGGGGAAATGCAACTGGAGAGTAATGTCCGGGGGAGAAAACAAGGTCGATGAGTTCTAAGAAGTGCACCTCGAACCTGACTTGCGCTATTATGGGCAGGATCACAGACGTTTTGAAGGCTCCAAGAGAACAGCCTGCCCGCTGGACAATGACAGTAGTGAGAACTATGGAGGGAGGCACAGTAAGAACATGCAGAAATCACAGAAGGAGACAGAAGATCCTGGAAGAAATAACCAGAGGGAGGTCGCTGACAGCATTTCGCTCTAAATAACAGGTTTTAGGTTTGTGGAGAACACAAGAATACTAATGAATCTTCGACAGGAAAGGATTTCAATGACAATAAGACTTCATTTAAATATTTCATAGCTGACGGTACAAGTAAGTACCACTTATATTTTCCACCTCTGGGGTTTATGGGGAAGCTTTCTTTGACCATGTATAGTGCATACTGGCGGCAGAGTGGGGGAGTATATATCTGTGTAAAACAGAAGGAAGTTCTTCGTGACCTATGGCTATATTGTAGGTTGTTGTATGAGGTGGTATGTCCTAGAGGCGTAACTGTGTAAAACGTTTGTTCCTCAGAGCTTCTGAATGGCAAGAAAACACTTGTTTAGATTCTTTACTGTTTCCTGTGTCTTAGTGGGAAGGTGAATCTATTTTCCATGCCTTATCCCTAAGAGCTATCACCAGAGTCTATTGAGACAGATATCCATAGAATATTTACCAAATCCATCAGACTTAAAAAATTTAAAACACTGAAGGATTCAGCATGCAGTCTAACAGTGAGAAAACCGTGTTTACAAACAATTTTAAAATTTAGTAATAAAATGGATTTAAGGTAGTAAGGACATCTTTAAAGTGGGTATAAATGTAAAGGGATTTCTAAATATTTATGTTTATACCCTGAATCTGAATATAAAGACCTTTATAAAGGAAACAGAGGAAAGAACTAGGAGGCAAAGGGTATTTATAGAAGTCTAAATACAGGCCTGTACATACATAAATATATTTCTATAAAACGATAGGGATATAGATCTAAGTACATATATTTAAAGGTTAAGTATTAAGGTAGCAGACAGAATTGGGCCTCTGCTCAAGTATTCCTTCAATGCAAGAACACTTTGTTCTAAGAACCCAGCATTCCATGATGCTCACCTACTCGACATGATCGCTGAAGACAAAGCAGGTGCATAAGCAAATGTGGTGAAGAAAGCTGATGGGGCACAGATATCAAAAGATATAGCATCTGGGTCTTAAAGGCTTGAAGATAAACAAGCAGCCATCTAGCTGAGAAGCAACAAAGTCCACATGGAAGACGCACACCAGTCTGTGTGATCATGAGGTGTCCATGGGAACAGTTATCAGGCATCAAAGACACAGAACAAAAAAATCATATCAATGTGACTAAGGGGGAGTGCAGAGTGGAGACCCGATGTCCATCTGTAGACAAATGGACATCCCCTTACACAGGGAAGAGATGAGCCAGTCAGGGTGTAGTATAGCA